CTGATGGGCGATGCTTTCATCATGCCAAGCCTACGTCGAGACACCACTTCAAGCTAGAAACTCGCTTTGAAGCCACAAAGAAGTGAGCAATTTTGTAGAGGTTGAGGTACTTGGAACGGACTATCGCCCGTTAACAGCCGCATTTTAGTGTCTCACCGAAGCCTTCGCTACTCGCAATCCAACGTTGTTGTTGTTGTTTTTGTTGCTGATGGTTATAATGTGAAGCTTGGCCCACGTGCAATGCATCTCCAGCATCATGAAAGTGTGCAAGTCGGTTGGCGATCATTATTTAGTCATGCAGACGCAGCACCTACTTGTATCAACAAATCAGAATATTCTGCAAAATTTTAGCGCGCTCATCCATTTGTGCACAATGGCTAAACCTCATTCCTGCCTTCGCACTTACAAAGCTTGTAAATAGGTTTGAAGGCACAAAGCAGGCTTTGATGTTGGTGGCATGGGGCACAATAAATCCCGTCTTTCCCGTACCGATGTGCATGCATCGGCGAGTGAGCACAAAGAATTGCAAATGCACCAATCGTGGACACGACAACTTAACGACCCCAGCTGCGTCTCGGCTCTCCAAATGGAACGCCATCAAACATGTTGGCGTATTACTTCAAATGCCTCAACGTGGCGAAACGGTTGCGATGTGTGACATGCCGTCTGTGCATACTTAGTTTTCCCATTGTCCCATTTAACTTCTTTATGATGTTGAGAGACACAACCGAATGAAAGCGGCTACTCACTGTGTCACTGCGTCTTGTCATTCGTCACTTAGACATGCCTAGTCAGGCCGAATTGTCGCCATCAACACTGGCAGCTGCGTGCATTTTTACTCGTGGCACAAATCTACGACAGTTGAATGGGCTGCTCCCGACTAAGTGCTTTTCCGTTCTCGCTTCCACTGGCAGGGGTGCTGAGATATGTGAGAACTGCGAATTCTACTGTGGATAAAGTGGGAAGAATGGACGTATGACGCGCATGCTATGACAGCGCCTGTCAACTACATCCCTCGTCAACACAAAATGTGTTTAGTTGTGCATACCGACTGAAACATGCAAAGTTGGGAAGGAAGTGTGTTTGGTAGAGTGGTGCTTGGTGATTGAAATCAGCTGAGACTGCTGCAAGTCGACGGCGAGGAAGAGGAATTTGCATTTCTGCACCAGTGTGGAATGGGAGTGGATCAACAACTTGCAGTTACAAATAACTTTTAGCACATTTGTGGTCGCACTTTACTGTTTCTCGCTTTTGCACATTAACTGAGTCCAAATATGCCTCCTCCTCCTCCTCCTCCTCCTTCTTCTTCTTCACATTTCTGCAGTGCGTGCAATAACATCGCTTGCTAGGAGCACAACGGCAGTGAATTAGATTCCTACGAGGACCTCTCGTGGGTCGAGCCACCACGAATCGTACTGCATCCAATGTAACATACCCCACTTCAATCCGCACATCAGGTCTCTGCGGGTAGTTAAGTGACGGTGGTGGTATGAAGTCGCTAATGCATTTCTCCCTACTCTCCACAAGTTGTGCAGTGCAGCGATCTAGTTAGCCACCATGAAACACTAACAGGGCAAAGTTTTGCATCTCTGACTAGCCGCCACGCAGTCAATAATGACAACATTCACTCCCTACAAGCACTCTCCAACGGTGTCATGAAATTGTTCACTCTCATCTTCAGTGCACCATCCAAACGAGTACTGGGTGTGAAAAAGTACCTCCTGCAAATGGAAAGCGGCATTAACGATGAAGACATTTGGAGACGAACAGTACCATCTGCATGGCATGAGAGCATTGAATGTGCAACTGAACTGCTATCCATGGTGCTACGTGACGAAAGGCAAGTCACTCGTGTTCTGACGAGGCCTGAAATGCAGATGATGTTTTTATGCATGTATGTATGTATGTATGTATAAACACCACTGCTTCATTGTCCAACAGGTAGGACATCACCACGCCTTGATGTGGGGTGATGAGGAGTGCGAGGTCAGTCGACCCACGC